GGGTGGTTTCCCACTTGTGGGAGATACCTGGTTGGAGAAAATTCCGATAGCCGACCGTTATTGGCGCCGGATCGTTGCCAGCCACCTCCGAGGGGGAAAAATGCACTCCACTTACGGGACTGATGACCTTAGGTTGTTACATCCGGAATCATCTAATCCTTTAAAGTCTGCGAAAATTCATCATGTGTTCTTACACTCAATGAAATGATAATAAAGTACCAATGACGCTGTTGCTAACGAAATATTCCAATAATACTACCAATAATTGACCGACGATTCCTCAAAATTGATAGCATATTTTTATATGATAAATAAACATTATTCATTAATGTTTCGTTTATTCCGGCACTAAATTGTGTAGACCCAATCGTTGGAGAAGAAGTTTGCTGCAATCGGTTTCCGAGGAAAATTACGTTTCGAAAAGAACTCTTTACTTTGCTAATTTCGGATGCGCAATTTCTAATACTCTTGCGTGGTGTAAAAGGTCGAGAAGAGTTGGTATAATAAGGTCGTTCTCTTTGTCCCGACATCTACAGCGTATGCGGCCGAGTCCCCGCTAACTCCGGAGCAGGAAATCGTGTCGCGCGTTGCGACAAAACTCCTGTCGCCCGCCCCCCTGTAACCGCCCAAACGCAGCCGCGATGAATCTGAATTGCGAATCTGACCAGTGCAAGAAATCAATTTTCTCGCGAAACGAACATTTGACCTGAAAACCATTTGAATCACTTCCTCAGATAACGAGAAGTGTATGATTATTGATTTTCTGTCGGAAAAATTAAAAGATAAGCTCAGTTATCTTGCATAGTATATATATTAATATATATTATATATATAATATAATATAATATATATATTATATATATATATATATATATATATAAACACACACACGTTTCGAAACGATAAGCTCATTGTTTCGAGACTAATATGTGTTCCCCTCCGGAGCACCAGCGCTGCCGGTGGACCCCTCGCCCTTCCTGTCCAAACGGGCGGGGGCGGGGGTTTGAGGTCTATTCTCATAAACAGCGGCAGAGAACAGCCGGAAGGGCAGCATTCAAAGCCCTCCTCAACAAATAGAAGAGACTCACTTCTGATAAACGACAATTAACGCGCGCGGACTTGATTTCACAAGATCAGCTTCCGTGCGTCGCTGCTAGCCAGCTGAAGTTTTCGATAGTGGTAAAGAACTCAAAAAGCTTCCCATTTCGAAGAAATTGCTAGTCGACTTTGTCATTATTTTTCCACGCGGAGAAGTGACATCTAAAAGGTTCAAAGATCCCCATAGAAAATGAACAGCACATATTTCCAGCAACCAAATAATGTTTCTGTAATAGTCTTTAACATTTTTAATTACTTAAAGATCGTTGTAAACAGGTCAATGAAAGGAAAGTTCTAGAAAAATGTAATTGACTGACTCTAATATTTGTTTGATGGAATTAAAACATTAGTAATTAACTGTCATCCTGAATATTATTGCAAATAAGAATATTGCCCAAAGTTGTAAGTGCTTCATATTTGGTCGATCACACTCAATAAACTCTTGAAAAGAACTTCAGTTATTGAACTGTGATCTCGAAGTAACTTATTTTCGTGCTTGAAAATTAAATCAACATTTTTACCCCTGTTCAATTTGGGAAAAAGTGTAATATCTCCACACATTCACCAGCTGCCACAACTTACATAGTCTAGATGCCGCGGCTCTCTTTCAAGTGTTCGTGTTGGTTCTCAAGTGAATGTGGGGCAACAAACTATAATAATTTCATTTTTCTCGTTTAAATGAGAATAATTATTTCTGCTTGTTATACATCCTTCACGACGGTAATTATGTCTGCCAATTATGTGAAACTCTTGTTGGTAGTCATAATTAATAGTTGGACTCGTGAGTAATGATGAGGCTGAAAGGGATAGGTAATGCCAACCATGTAAGCCTTGTAAATGTCAATTTACTCTGCGTAAAAGAAAGACGAACTCTATTGATTATAAATATCAGTAAGTCAAGTGCATTACATTACTTTCAATGAGGTTACCTGTGATATGTGAGAACTCGAATTTCTCATCTTCGATCGCTGGGGAAGGGGTTCCATTCGCGTCCACCGCAAAGTGAAATTTGAGTTCGGCGAAGCGGATTCGGCGGGAGATTTTCTTGTGGATCCCGCGTTTTCCTACACCTCATATCATTGCTCCAGAAACAGCGTCGCTATGTCATCGGTATGACTCAGTGCTTCAATAGCTACCGACTACATCCTAATGGACATGTACTACCAGAACCCAGTTCTAGGGCAATAATCAATACGTCATATTATTTTATTGTAGATTTCAAAATAAATTCTCAAAATATTTTACGCCTCTTTAATTTGTCTCAAAATAATACGTGTATAAACCAGCATAGCCAGAACTTTGAGGTATTGAGGAAATATTCAAAATTCCTTTGGCACGTCACGCAAGGTAGAGAAGAATTTGATTGATTGATTGATTGATTAATTAGTTAGTGATTCTCGACACTAATCAATACTAAGGTAATTATTACCGTAAGTGTAGTGCATTTTCCCTCTTGGGAGAGGCGGTGATATTCCTTCGCTTGAAAGTGATATCCCGCACTGATCTACCGTCGGCTAGCGGGGTTTTCCTCAACCAGGTCTCTCCCACCCCTCTTGGAATGCACTGCTCCCGACCGGTCTCCCGGAGAAAAGATCGCGTGCGGTCCGTGGCCCGTCTGCTCCGGCATTCGCCTGGTGCTGATCTGAGAAACCACCGGTTAGCGAGTTCACTGTCCTGAGAAAGGCTGTGACATGTCAGGCGGAACGTCGGCCTCTCAGCCAACGACGCGGCGTCTCCCGGACAGCCGAGAATTTATGGAATCGAGCCGCGGAAGTTTACGTGTACCTATCAGAGCAGCTTGCCACTAGAATACTCCTCCAGCAACTGAATGCGACGTAGCTATCTAGCTAGTGTCGAAAATCCTGCCTCCGTCGACGCCCGAACTAAGGTAGAGGCACCTCTTCAATTGATGCCGTGAGCCACCTCTCCCGGTATAGAACTTGACGTGCTATTCTGTTGAGCAGTGCAGTTGCTGAGAAATGCCCCAATTGTGAGGTCTTTCTGAGGAGGGCTTTTTGTTCATTCAACGAAGCGGTCTCCGTTCGCGGAAGCGCCCGCCTCTCCCGTCTCACGCGTCGTCGTCGTCGTCGTCGTCGTCTTTGTCCCCGTCCCGCCCCAGTCGCCGGGCAGTTTAATTGCACGCGTCACATCTCCCGGCCTGGGCAAGGTCGCCCCTCCCCAGCGCCTGAGAGCGCCTCTCCTCCCCCACAATGCCTGGGAACGATGCGGCACCGTTCGAGCTCCTCTGCGGGTCAAGGCTCACCAACGGAGCCGGTTTAACATGCGGCGCTCGCAGCTCTAACTGATTTCCAAAACAAATAATGGGGGTTGTTCCTTAACCTAGCTGCTTCTGTTTACGAATAGTTTCCTTCTGCTTACGAATAGCTTAGGGTTCGACGGTGCTTAGGGTTCGACGGTGCTTAGGGTTCGACGGTGCTTAGGGTTCGACGGTGCTTAGGGTTCGACGGTGCTTAGGATTTTCGACACTACCTAGATAACTAGGCAATTCAGTCGCCTTCTCGTGGAGAACTCCAGCTGTCGGCTGCTCTGATTGGTAGATTTCCGTTTAACCGATCAACACTTGGCGAATACCGGAGCAGTACCCTAATAAACGAACCGCGCGTGGTCTTTTCTTCCGCTTCCTATTTTCACCCCTTTCACACAGACTTACACTAACATGCACTGAACTGCCACACGTGCCGGGAGTCTAGTCGGGAGCTTAGAGCTTCACCTGGCAGGAGCAGTTCTCTTCTAGTGGGAGATACCTGGTTGGGGAAAATACCGCTACAAGGCGTGTAGGGTGGTGCCGGATCTCACCATCCAGTGGGAAAGATCACCGCCACCACCTGCGATAAAAACATGCAGTACAATTATGAGGCTAACGACCTTAGCAGTTGACGCGCCCGGAATCGCCAATCAATCAATCAATCAATCAATCAATCAACCAAAACCCCCGAGATCGTGGAGAGAAAGCGCAGAGCGACGGACTGGAAGGAAGCACGCGGGAGCGACGGCAGTCTTGTTTCGTAGTTGCGTGTTCATGGTTGAACTTCGTGTTTAATTTTGTAGTAATTATCTCTTTTAATTTCGTGCGTTTTCGCGACGATTGTTTCAGTGAAGACAGGTTTAAAGTTTCTTCAAGAACGTAATGTTGTTCCAGAAAATAAACAAATAAACTGTAAGTGCAATCATACGATGGTTATTAGTTTGGTTGCGAAGAATTTCAGGAGACGTTCGATTTACAAGAATCAAAGAATTATTTTTCTGTGGTAATTTAGAAGCAACTGTTTACTCTGTGTCTCAATTGATAACTCTATTGAAAGTCAATTTCTTCATTAAATTCTGTTAATTCTCTTCCTGTTTTTTTCCTTCCTAACAAACTGTTGGGCAACATATTATTTTGGCATTAAATGTGCTACAACGCCCCATTTTGGAGAAATTCACATCGATAACGTGAAGTGCAACGTAACTTATGTTGGAAGTTGAATGCGTGCCTACAGAATTCTTAATAGCGTAAATTACAGACTTCAACATTTTTCGTCACCAATCTGTATTATATTACCCCTACGGGGTAATATTCTGTCGAGCTGTAGTGTATTTACGAGGTTTTATATCCACGTCTTATAAATCGTTAAAAAAATACATAAACTATCCTTAGTATATCATGTGTATGGGATGCACTTTTACTCAGAGAAGAAACTGTTTTCACTTTTCTCAATATTCATTTGGAAAGGGTACAAGTGTGTCTCTTCTCGCTTTTATGTTACTTCACGTATTTGTAACGCAAGCTTTGAAATGCAAGCAAAGGGAGCGTGAGCAGGCAGCTGTAGTGAAGTGCAGGTTCCCTTGTTTCAGAGGGTGTGATGGGCGAGGCAACATGGCGGAAGAAGCTCAAAGCCCCCTGGGACACTGGCCCCACAACCTGAGCTCGATGCTGGCCAGCCTCGGCTGCACCCTCGGCCTCTTCAACATCAGCCGCTTCGCCATCTTCAGCATCCAGTTCGGAGGTAAGTGTTAGAGATGCAAAGAAAACTTACTTTTAAATTCGAATTATAGGAATAAGTGTTAAATTTATTTCTTACTTCCAAAATGTATGTTTTACTCCATAAACTCCTTTCAAATACAGCATCCGAAATATAGTTTTATTGTTACTACATCTTCTAGAAATAAAACTTAATTTACATTGTGCGCACGTTGTTTGAACTAAGTGGGGAATAAAGTAATCCAAAAATGTACTCGCAGCAATAAATCTAATCCTTCATCAAGGGCACAATGGGAGATAATAATAGACAAAACGCTTAGCTTACTTGCCATTGCAAATAGTTTATATTACATAGAAGCGAATATCTTCTTATCAATTCCCGCAAAAAAATAAAATAAAAAGCCCAGGTTGGTTCTTGTATTCATAATTAAAAGAACTCAAGAAAATGTGCATATAAAACTCTTTTCTCCCTAGTACGTCGCACACAGTTTTTAATTGTTTTTCTTGGGGGGGGGGATAATAAATAAGTGAATAAACAAATAAAGTTGAAAAGCGTTACAAAAACAAAATTAAACAATACTTTCATCGTTAACAAAATTATTAAAATGAAAGCACACATCCATTTTGTTAAAATAATTAATAATTTTGTTCATTTTCATGGGGAAAAACACTCCCCCTTGCAGCTGTGCATGGTCGATTTTCCGAACTTTCGATCCGAACTGAAATTTTCATACGTATAGTTTCCGGGAATGATTTTCGGATAATCCAATAATAGCCCGAATCATTTCCAAATCATAGGATTTCACTATACTTTACGAATTACCTTTCTCGCTTCTTTGCCATTGTCATTGATGTGCGACTTGATTTGTGTTGCAGCCAACTTCATTCTGCAGTTTTTATTTCTAACGTTGGTACTCGGCATCCCTCTTTACACATTCCATTCATCAATTGGACAATTTCTGGCGTCTGGAGTTATGGACATGTGGAAAATCTCACCTGTCTTTCAGGTTTGTACAGTTAATTTCAAAATTGAGGAGTGTATTTGTTTTTACTGCAAAAACGAAAAGAGTGCAAAAGGGAGAGCATGAAAAAATTAGAGAATATGTAGCCAGGATGATTCAGGATGACAATATTTTAATCATATTTTTGCATCATTTGTTTAATATAAGTATGTATGTACTGTGGTACAACAGCTCTTTACGAGCTAAGGGCTACCAACAGCGTTCCGGCCTTGCGGTCATAGTATACGTATGGTTAGCACATAGTGATCCCTAAGCTTTATTTCTGGTATTATCAATCTGAGGAGAGAGCATTCTCATCGTCACATAGCAACAGGTACTGGGACATGGCAAGGAAATCGCACAAATAATTTTTACCACGACTGGGAATCGAACCCGGGGTTGCGCCGTGGAAAGCGAGCATGCTGCGAGCCACCGAGAGCTGCTCAACATTCGTGTAAAACATTAAAATTACGAATGGTCACTGATTGTTTCAGGACTCATTTATTGAATTGATATGTAGTACGACCTGAGCTAGAATAGATTTTTTTTTGCTCATCAACCGTTTTTGGTTATTGAAAACACATTTGTTTTCTTTTAAAAAAATGTTTTTACTACCTCCCAACTTTCAAATACAAAGTTTGTATGGTTTCCTGCTTCGAACTCGTGCTCTGATGAAGGCCAGCATGTCTAGAGGAAACGTTAGCTAATTGTATTGGTGCTAGTTATTCTCTGATTGTTTTTATTTTCCGAACTGTCATTGTAAATTGTAAATGTTCGTAACGCCCGTGGAATTCTGTTTAATTTCGCGTGCTGCCTAGCGAGCGACAGTGAAATGACGTCGGTGATTCGGGCGGGCTACAGGTGTAGTCCAAACTATGTCGACTCCCAGTCTAAAAAATTCCTGACGCTAGTTCCTGCATATGGCGCTGCGAACGATGTGGGTGTTTTGGGGATAAGTTGGCGGGCAATGTGAGCATCTGATATCGTCATGTTGTAAACTGGGGTTTTACGTGGAAAAGCACGTTGTAATGGGAGTGACAAAATAAATATGGAAGATTGGAAAATTGCGTCGAAACCGTTTTATACATGTGTGATAGACGTAGAGATTAATATAAATCATATCAAATAATTTTGTTTAAGAATTGTGAAGATATTCAAATGCGTAGAAGTTATTACAGAAAATGACAAAAAATAATGTTTACATTAGCGAAAAACGCTTCAGCATTGAACAGACTATTAAGAGAGATGTAACATACCAAGAATAATTTTTGCAATATGGATTTTTCATCGTAGAGTAGAGTAATTTCCATTTTAAAATATGTAAATATTTTTGCAGAGTACTACAAATTTGCAGAATTTACATTGAAAGAAAAAGTAAAGCCACCATAAATATCCAAGTCGAGTGCAGCGCTCCGCACATGGAAGCGAGGAACAAGCCTCAAGTTGGCGTCACAAAATCAGAGGAAAAAGTAGCGCGTTGACTCGCCTATTCTCTTTCACCGCGGTGTAGCCCGAAGGCCCTCGGCGTCTGAACAGCACTGTGCGGTCGATGTCGGCTCCAAGGCCCCCGAAAGACCAAGGCCTACGGGCATCTCCTGGCGGCCGACCCTCCCCTCCCCTCCCCTCCCCCTCATTATATACGGCAAACGTATTTTGCAATACCAATCAACATTTTTCTAGACTTTGAAATGAATCAATTACCATATTAAGGAATGTAGCTCAGTCTGCATTACTTGCAATACTAACAACTGAGACACTGAGTAATTCCTTGATGAAGATAACCTCATCTCGTGCAGGCTTTTTGTTCAGTTTCTGTAGTCCCCTGAGCAAATGCTGAGATAGCCCTTTGTTTCGCTTCTGAACAGTAATGTAACTTTGCTCTCTCCATTTAAGGTATCATATTGACTCGCCATACAGGATTGTAAATGTATATGAGACTCAATAAATATTATTATTATTATTATTATTATTATTATTATTATTATTATTATTATTATTATTATTACAATAATTTTTTATATGTTTTTGTTTTAAAAATGTGGATTCCTCAGATGCTATAGTTGCAGGCAATGTGGTGAATCAAACATACTGTACAAATGTCAGGAAAACTTGTAGAAAAGGCCCTTCTAACAATTGGACAAATTCCTATTTCTAGATAAGATTTGCAAGAGCAAATGTTTTTCACTTATCTAAAAATATATTATAAAACATACAAACAAAGAACTGTTCCTTCTTATGCCTCAGATTTACTAGTATATAAAAAACCAAGTTCAGGCTGTGTATTCATGACATTGTATCTTATTTTCCAAAATTACAAACAAAAAAAAAAATA